TTGGTCTATACCTGGTGGTCGGTAGCAAATTTGTGCTGCCAGTGATGTGTGAAGCAGACCTTAGGCCGCCTCCCTCTCCTCACATGTTGGGGTGGCGAGACAGCCGCCGTTTCCTCCTCCTCCTGCCAACCCCCCCTGTTTGAACCCCAATGCTGGCTTTGCAGGCTCCCTGGCAGAATGGCCCTCGCCTTGCATGCACCTGAGCAAAGGAAGCCCTGCACAAAAGCACAGCTCACGCCTTTTCTCGCTCTCCCTGTGTGTGTTACTACGAAACGGTTGCTTAGCAGCAGCACCCTGCACACATCACCAAGGTAACCGGAGAGGAAAGGGGGACGAGGAAAGGTGCAGCAGCCCCTGCTGGCCTTTTGATGCAGAGCCAAAAGGGCAAAGCTGTTGCCCACTTTGAAGCAATGCCACCCCCTCCGCAATTTGACTAATCCTGCTGCCACCCGCTAGCCAGCCAGCCAGCCAACCTTCCCCTCCCTCTCACACCAGCAAACTACCGTGGCCATCTTCTTCCATTGCTGGCGGCCTTCTGCCATACAGCGGTCAAAAATTCAACAGGTGCAACCATCCCCAGCATAGCTGTAACCTGTTGAATTTCCGTCTGATGCAGCTGCCTACAATCAGAGGCTGCATTAGATTAAGCACAGGGTAGGAGGGACACTCTAAAGTACACAACAAAGGTGACTGGGTTAATTTTCTTCTCTCTGATGCAGCAATGTCAGCTGTCAGTCAACCAGCCAAATAACCAGGGGAAACAGCCCTTTGCTCATGATAACGGTATCTGTGGCGTCTGCCCCACGGTGGGTGCCTAAAACAGGAGAGCAGCAGCAGCAGCAGAAACTGCTACTACATGCATACATTATGATGCAACATTACTCAGCGGATGCAAATTGATTAAGGAATGTAATTATGAACCCTAAATAATAAATCGGGACAGCTGCCATCTTATAAGGGTGGTGTTTTCCATTCTAGGACTTGGCTCCAGTTTTACAGCTGAATGTTAGATATTTGATCTGCCATTCGCACGCTGCAGCTTACACGCATGTTTCCAACACAATCCTTCCGCTAGAAAAACTGTGTGCGTAAACCCTGGGAAACACAATAAACGCTGCTTAACATCTCTTGGTGAAAACTGAATAGATATGGAAGTGACGAAGGAGGACATACATTCAGAAGGCACATTTCCCTTCTGCATTTTTATTTTTGTTAGAGCTGAGGGGAGCTCACTCCCTCCCTTTCCCAGGTGCCTCTGTTCAATACACCAAGAATAGGATGTCCACTCTAGAACGCCGTGGAGAGAAGAACTGAAGGTTAGCTTCACATGACTTCCTGATAGGGGAAAATGTGGGCGAGGTACACCCTGATTTTAAGCAGTATGCCAACCACATGCGCCTTCCTGAATTACCCTTTCCAAAGTAGCTTAGGAACATTTCTGTTGTTACATCACCGCAGCCTCAGTTTCTAAGGGGCTACCACACTTTGGACTTTTACAGCTGCAATGTATTTGGGCGTGACTCAAGCATGTACATAATCCATGTCCAGTCTCTTGGTTTTTAATTATGTATACTGTGCCATTAATGAACTATAAAGCACCTTGCAGACATTCATAAGCAAAAGGAAAGGCAGGTTATGTCTGAATTTGGAAAACCTGGGTTCAAATTTTCCCGCTCAGCCACAAAGCACACTAGGGCTGTGTACACACCACACATTTAATGCACACAAATTTCCTCCAAAGAATCCTGAGAATTGTAGTTTGTTAAGGATTCTAGGAATTGTAGCTTTGTGAGGGATTAACTATAGTTCTCAGGATTCACTGGGGGAAGTTAGGTGCTTTGAATGTATGGTGTGTGTACATCAGTAGCGTACCATCAGGGGTGGTCATCCTGGGCACAAAACTGTTAGGGGCACAAAAAACCAATACCAAGTGCTGCCTCAATACAGTTGCACACTTCTGTTGCTAGCCTCTGGTTTCGCCATGTGAACCAGGAAGGGACCTTCAGATAAGGGAACAACTCTTCTTTTCTGATCTCTGTAGCTGCGATCTCCTGGGTGAGGCAGACACCATTAGGCAGTTGAAAGTGCATGTGTACCCTGTCCATTTCCCTCCCTCTTTGTGGCCCCGGGTGCTGGCAACCCATGCTACACCACTGGTGTGTACACAGTCTAGGTAGCCATTGACAAGAGTCTCTTTCTCTCTGTTTTTAAAATACACCTATGAAAAAACATGGAGTCACCAGCTCTCAAGACATTTTTCTTCCTCTTTTCCTGCTAAACACCTAGCTTAACACATGACATGACATCACCATACTGTTAGTTTCCCTGCTCCTGCCTCTGTCTACATGCACTACATCAGGAAGATTTGGGGCATTACATGGCAGGACAGAGCCTCAAACAAAGATGTGCTTCCCAAGCCCACGTTCCCAGAATGTTCGCACTGCTGTGTCAGTGACATTGATGCTGGCTTGGTCATGCCCACAGAAAGGAAGATGGCAGGATCTCCAAAGACCTGCTCCACAGGGAGCTGGCTTCAGGCACCAGGCCTATTGACAGACCAACTCTGAATTACAGAGATGTCTACAAAAGTGACATGATGGTTGGCAACATTAACCCCGCCATGTGGGAATCCCTTGCAGACAACCACAGCACCTGGAGACAATCAATTGGACTGTGTATCCATAAGAGTGACCAGAGAAGAAATGACCACTGGGAGGAGTGCAGAGAAAAGAAACACCATCGTGCATCTGCAGTAGCACAACTGGACACCTTCATCTGTCCCAGCTGCAATAAAACATGTCTCTCCCATATCAAACTGCTCTCCCGTAGCAGTTTGACTTCAACCCAAAAGACACCCTCTTCCATTCTCTTCCGAAACAGATGGATGCCAACAACAATAAAATTAAGGCAAAGGTGGAAACGTCTCTGTACCTCTTTCCCAGCCCTCAAACATAAACATAAGGATGTGAACATCATTTGCTGGACCCAGTATGAGAGGGTGAAAGGCCCAATATGCTGAGGGGAGGTACAGTGGTGCCTCGCAAGACGAAATTAATCCGTTCCGCGAGTGTCTTCGTCTAGCGGTTTTTTCGTCTTGTGAAGCAACCCTATTAGCGGCTTAGTGGATTAGCGCTATTAGCGGTTTAGCGGCTATTAAAGGCTTAGTGGCTTAGCGGCTAAAAGGCTATTAGCGGCTTAGCGGCTTAGAAAAAGGGGGGGGAGCGAAAAAAATCACAAGACTCGCAAGACGTTTTCGTCTTGCGAAGCAAGCCCATAGGGAAATTCGTCTTGCGAAGCGCATTGAAAAACGGAAAACCCTTTTCTCTAGCGGATTTTTCGTCTTGCGAGGCATTCGTCTTGCGGGGCATCACTGTACACACATTGCACCTGAGCTAAGCCCTACAAGGCATGGGTAGATGATTACATTATCAATCCAGGCCATTCCTTAGTGTAAGTACTGTCCCTAAATTACTAAAGCACTGGTTTGGGTCAAATTTCCTACTCTGTCTACCAGAGGCAAGTTTGCCCATCTTTGGAGTGGCAAAGACTTCAAAACAACCAGGCATGTGACCTCTTTGCAGTCTTTGGCTGCAGAAAATTGAGGCTGATGACTATCCCATTATGATGATTGCCTCTTGCTCTTTCTATGACCTTCCATTTTGCCCAAAATGGATGCACACAATCCCTGACTCTAACTTTCAATTTAATCCTATTTTTTGAAGTGCCTAGTTGCATTTGCGAAATTCTTCTTCTTCTGGCCTGCAAATACTTTCAAAGTACTCTGGCCTCTGGCCAGCGCACTAAATAAATTTACCTTACAGTACAAAACTACAAGTCAGGGTTAATATAGCTGCCTCTATTGCCTGAGGAGGAACTGTTGATTTAAGATCCTGGGAGGGTTGTGGCATCATGGCAAAGCGGTTGGCAGGCATCCATTACCACATGCAAGCACGCACTCACTCACAGTGTGACTTCTGTCCCAAACTCCGTACATAATTCTCTTGCAAAGAAGAGTTCCCGTGACAGGCTTGAAGCTTCCCTTTTGAGTGACTGCTCCAGGCTGACAGTGTTCTCTCCTCTCAGGATGTTACATAAGGAGCAGTGTGTGTGTGTGTGTGTGTGTGTGTGTGTGTGTGTGTAGAGGATACTGGCACCCTCCTCCTCCACCTGCAGCAGGAGCTTCTCCCCTTATCCGAAGACTTGGGCTTGGAGATGCAACAAGGTTGCATATGGAAGACACCTCACAAGGCACCACTGCCCACTTCCTGCCTTTGTTGTCTGCAAAAGGAGGGCTGTGCCATGGCTTGCATGCAAGGGATGTACGCTTTCAAGCCTAGAGCCTCACGTCTACAGCAGCCAATTTCCAAACAGGCACTCATCTTCTGCTCCCCAAATCCTCGAAGCTGGGGTGCTCAAACCTTCCCCTCCAGCAACATGAGCAGAGGCAAACAACATTAGATACAGGTTGAAAGGGATGTGGAGAAGCCATGAGCTTCTCTAAAGTTCCCACATCCTTTATGTGTAGGAGTTTGCTCCTTCTCCTTCTCTCTCTCTTTCTCCCACACACAGGAGAATCATGTGCTGTGAAGCCGCATGAGGACACCTCAGGGTGCTTTTTCTTCCACTCTTGCTTTCTAGGCAGAAAGTGTTCCCATCTCCCTTCGAGTGGCTGAGCACCCACAGAAGGGGTGCTGGAAATCCTGCTCCAATCACAATCAGAATGAACAAGTTGCTCTGGAGTAAGACTAGCCACCTTTCTCTTTTAAAGAGCTCATGTGATTGCACCATCCACCAATGCTCCAGCCCCTTTGCTTGGGCCTGATTAAAAAAACAAAATTCCTGTAGACAGCTCCTTGAAATCTGTGGAATATCCACAGAACAACCCAAAACGGTGTTAAAAACACAGACTGGGTCCAGAGGCTCAACTAAGGGCTTATCCAAACTTACCTTTCCTCAGCGCTCCATGTCAGAGAGCCCCCCCTTTTTTTGCTCTGGAGTTTTCTCTGTGAAAACCCTCTCTTTAATGCTCAACTGGAAAAAACAGCAATCCCTAGAAAACTCAAATTGCCATTTGTTGCAATTCAACTTTAAAGAGCGGGTTTTCACAGGGGACGCTCCAGAGGCGGGAGGGAAGGAGCTCAGCTTTAAAGTACAGATCTGTGCCTGGAAAGAGCAGAGCAAAAGCTAAGTGTGAATGAAACCTGCCTGGGGAGCAGCAATGAGGAGCAGAAGGTGATATGAACAGGTGAGAGCCAGTACAGTGTAGTGGCAAATAGTGTTGTTGAGCCAGGAGCTGGGAAACCAGGGTTCAGATTCCCCACTCAGCCATGAAACCCACTGGGTGACCTCTGGCCAGCCACCAGGCACACCAACTCCATGGGGCAGGGGCCTCTCCAGCCCCCCTCCATGTCCACTGGGATGGGGCTCAACCCCCTCAGCAATCTTGAGGGGGCAGAGGAGGCCTGCCTGGGCGTTGCCCTGGGCTATGCGTCACCTTCTGCCACCATGCAGCCTGGCAGGAAGTCTTTGGGAGACGCTGTGCAGACTAGCATGGCCTGGCAGGCAAATGTCGCATCGAGAGGCAAATGTCGCACCTGGCGAGCCATCGCACACGCATGCATGACATTAGCCTCCCCAATGTTGAGTGCAATTGGTGCCTGTGCCAGCCACGGTCCCTCAGCCTGGCTTACCTGACAGGGTTGTTCTGAGGATTAAACAGCCTCGGCCCAGTATACCTGAAGGAGCGTCTCCACCCCCATCGTTTTGCCTGGACGCTGAGGTCCAGCGCCGAGGGCCTTCTGGTGGTTCCCTCATTGCGAGAAGCAAAGCTACAGGGAACCAGGCAGAGGGCCTTCTCGGTAGTGGCGCCCGCCCTGTGGAACGCCCTCCCATCAGATGTCAAAGCGATAAATAACTACCTGACATTTAGAAGACATCTTAAGGCAGCCCTGTTCAGGGAAGCTTTTAATCTGTGATATTTTACTGTATTTTTTGTTTCTATGGAAGCCGCCCAGAGTGGCTGGGGAAAGCCAGCCAGATGGGCGGGGTACAAATAATAAATTATTATTATTATTATTATTATTATTATTATTATTATTATTATCAGCTCCTTGGAGGACAACACTGTAATAATAAATAAATACGCAGGGCATTTTCACCCAGACTTGAAACTGACGCAGGTAGCCATCAAAATATGTTTGCCTTAGGAAGACAGTCTAACCTTGCCTTAATAGCAGGATCAGTACCAGCTTGATAAGGAGATTCAGCCATGTGTGTAGCTGCCTGCCAGGCAGACTGGCCAGTTGCTGAGCCCATTGTGGGCGATGGGTATGTCGTTTGCAAGGGTTTTTATGAGAGAGAAGAAATGCCAAAGAGCACATAGCCTATTTTACAAAATGACCGCTGGCACAGTTGGGGGGGGGGGTTCAAACTGCCAAATTAGCCACCCCTCCTGCTGCCAAGCCACATGGAAGGGAGACACCCTGTTGAAATGGACAGATATCTGAAGAAATCAATGGAAAGAAAAGCTTATGGCTCGAAGGTGGGGAAGAGAGAACTAGGAAGACAAACAAACAAACCTGAAACCAATTTCAAGTCAGTATTTAGATAAACAGCAATAATGAAACGCAGCCCTGCATGTGAGCCCCTTTCTATGCAGGGCAGTGGCGCTCCATTGCTATTAGGGGAGCAATTATCCTCTCAGCTACGTCTGAGCTCCTGCAGGCCAACGGGAATGAAGTAGCCAGTTCTTATCGCCCATCTTTCCCGGGCTGCTGGCAGCTCCCGTAAATTAAACTGCCCAAGCAGAACTATAAAAAACGCTGTCTCAGCAAGCCTGGAAACCTGCAGCTGATTGAGGAATCAGCCTCTCACTTATTCAACAAGTTGCTACCCAGCTTTGCCAGCAATGATGCGTCATAAAGACCTATGCATGGAGGCTGCATCAAAAATACCACCACCAAACGAGACACCTGTAGGGAGTGTACCAAAAGTCTACCTACTCCAGCATTCTGATCCCAAAGGTAGACAGCCAGATACTTCTAAGCAGCTGACAAGCAAGGCATGAAAGCAGGAGTGTGTTCCAGTTCTTTGGCCCCCAGAGAATGCCATTCAAAAATATGCTGCGCCCGACAGTGGAAGTACCATTTCGCTCCAATGGCCAACAGCTGTGGATAGAGTGCCCCCTCTATGAACTGGTTTACTCTCTTTCAAAAGCAAGGGTAGGAGACATGTGGCCCTCTAGATGTTTTTGGATTCATGGCCAATGGCCAGGGGTGATGGGAGTTGTATTCCAGCAACATCTAGAGAGCCACAGAGGGTTTCCCCTTCAAAGTCAGTATTTGCCTCCACATCTCATGCCAGTGAACACAAATTAACCAAATTTCCCGAATCTGCTGCCCAGTTTCACCAGGGTCACATCCACACCATGCATTTAAAACACTACATGGCCTCCACTAAAGAATCATGGGGAATGCAGTTTGCTCCTCACAGAGCTCCAATCCCCTGCACACTTCACAAACTACAGCTTGGAGGAACCTTTGGAGGAGGCAAATTAAAAGCTTTGGTGTTTTAATTGTATGGTGTGCATGTCACCACTGAGTTATAATTTTGTGAGAAAGGACAAAAATATTATCCGTCCACACCATGCATCCTTTAATAATTCTTTAACATGCCTCCCTGAATTCATCCTCCTCTGCACAAAAAAAAAAACCAAAAACCAATAAAAGCCCTGAACACTTTTGGCTTTTGTTTTGTTTTGGGTATGTATGGATGGATATATGTATGCATGTATATAAGGTGCTCTGGCCTCTTGATTCATTTTTGTTGCATTTTTCCGTACCTTTCACAGATTCGCGGTGTACTTTTTAAGAAGATGGGGCAACTAGCAATGTACACAGTATTCTAAACGTGGCTGTACCAGGGATGTGTGTAAACGTTATTATGATATAGGCAGTTTCATTTTCTTAATAATCCCCAACATGGATTTTGCTCTTTTCATTTCCATTGCAAACAGCAGTTCCAGAAAACAATTCTGTTTATGGGCAGTTCCTTGTTTCGTTTCCAGTAACATTTATCCACTGAATCTGCAATTGGAAAGGAAAGATCAGTTGCAGGGGAAGTTTCTTAATCCCTTTGCCTCAAGACTGTTTTTTACTGTTGCTGGAGAAAACATACAAGTGGGAGCAGAGACGGCCCACCAACAGAACCTTCTGCTTGGATTATGAGACCTAATTATTTTCTCTCAGTCCCAGACTACAAAAACTCGGAGCCATCAGTGAAAGTAGAAGTTAGACAATGTAAAGTCACATCCAGGATGGCTCTAACTTCAGAGTTTGCAAACATTGTTTTTGGCACTGGATGCAAGGAGTAGATGGCCTTTTGGAATAATCTGGCAGGGCTATTTTTATGTTAGGAGGACACTGGCTGGGATTGCCAGCCATCAGAAGATGGGGATCTGGTGTCCTACACAATCCCTCATTATACCCTACTACCCTCTGCCCCTACAGCCAGCCCTTTCCCACTTTCCCAATCCTCACTTTGAGAAGTCCCAAATCCTTTCAAGATGGTGGATCTGGGACAACAACATGAATACGGCACAATAAGCAGGTGCATGACTGTTAGCATCATTCCTGCAATTATGGAGGAAGGATTTGGGATACGGTCACATAGAGTTTTTGTGTGAATTGTTCTTCTTCTTGCAGAACATATACACAAACACACAGAGCTGTGACTACAGAGAGTTTGATTCAAATCAGACAATCTGGGATTAGTTCCTTAATAGGAAGATGCTAGGGTTCAAGCCAAGCCCAGCAGCCCACCTTCTGATCAAAGGACTCCGTTGGCTGTCCCTTTAGAACAGGGCTGGGGAACGTTTGGCCCTTTGGGTGCTGCTAAACTACAACTCCCATCAGCCCCAGCATGTGCAGCCCATAGCCAAGGATGATGGGAGCAATAGTTTAGCAACAACTGGGGAGCCAAAAGTTCCCTACACCTGCTATAGAAGGCTGATTATTAGAACGGGAAAAACACTCTTCCTGTGTACAGAGATACTTTCCTTTATTACCACTACTGTACTTTCAACCTGTTCCGGGGTTTGAAAAAGAGGTCAAGAGGCTGCGCCATGCCTCCAATTAAGCCTTGGCCACATATCCCCCTGCAAGGCCCATCCAGGAGGACCCAGGTGCTGGTTAATCTCCAGCCTCTGACTCACAGACCCCGGGGCGGGGGGAGCAGAGCGCATTCTGCAACCTTATGCCAGGGGTTTGGCGCGCACGTTCCAGTCGATTATGTGCAATGATGAGAGCTGACAGCCGCTAGTTGCCCGCTGTAAATGCTCAGAAGTGCGATCTGGTACCAGAGCACCCAAAACAAAGTGCATTTCTAATAAATCTCCCCTCTCCTCGCCTTGCTCTTTCTTTCGAAGCTTGCTGCATACCGATTCACTGGGGCTGGTGGCTTTTTTGAAACGTCAATCAGAGAGGATCAAAGGGAAAGCTGGAGAAGTCATTTTACACCCTTATAATTCCTCCTGATTAACACATCTGCTCAGACAGAGGTTTATGGCTGGGAAGGAGGGAGAGAGGGAGAGAAAGAAAGAGAGAGAAGATGGAATCAGGGCATCAAAGACAGCCTGGCACAGCTGTCTAGGGGATTCTGTTCATACAGCAGATCCGAGCGCTAGCTGGGAAAGGCGGGCAGGGGGGAGATAGAATCATGTCATCCTTAATGCTGCAGCTGGGGTTCAGACTCCCCCCTCTCTCTGGAAGCATGAAGCTTATTGCCTCTACGTTACTACAGGTAGCTGAGAGACAGAAGAATGAAGTGATGGGGGAAGGATGAAACACGGGGCATTCAGCACTGCTAACTGATGCACGAATAGTCCTAATTCTACATCTTCAGCCTTGGATTCTAAAGCAAGTGTGGGGGACTTGTGGGCCCCAGATGTGGCTGAACTATGACTCCCACCATCCCTGACCACTGATCATGCTGGCTGGGGATGATGGGAGGTGGAGTCCAATAACTTCCAGAGGGCTGCAGGTTCCCCATTCCTTGGTCCTGCTGTATAAGGCATAGCATTCTTCCAGTGCTACACCTATACATACATATACAT